AGACACTCAGCACCAGGGACAGACGGATGGATGAGTGGGGGTGGGGACAGGAGGCTGGTGTACCTGCTGCAGCCCTGACCCATGATGGGGACATGCACAGGGGGGATCAGGCTGCACTTTGGGGAAAGGCCACGAGAGCCAGGCTGACCTCTCACGGACAGGCCTCCCTCTCCTGGGGGTACCTGGCAGGCCCTGCTCTGGCAGCCCCCCATCCCTGGCCCCTGCCCTTGGGCTCGTTTCTTTCCCCAGCTCCAGAAGATGTCATACCCCTGCCCCTGCTCAGCCGCACCGCGGCTACTCATGTCCACACAGGCCTGCTGCCTGGGGGTGGGGACTGATCACAGATACTCCTGTCCTGACACTCACTCCACCGCCCTCCCTGTGCAGACAAGCCCACCTGTTCTGCTCTCTCAGGACACAACAGGAGCCCACATTCACACACACAGAGCCTACGCCCACACACAGAGTCCACATGTCTACACACTCAGAGTCCACGCGTCCTCTCCTCACACACGGAGGCCACACATTTACACACAGAGAGGCCACGTCCACACACACAGAGGCCACACACCCTCACACACAAATCTCATATGTCCACACACAGAGCCCACACGTTCACACACAGAGTCCATGTCCACACACACAGAGCCCACACATCCACACACACAGAGCCCACATGTCCTCACACACACATACCCACACATCCACACACACAGAGCCCACATATTCTCACACAGAGTCCACGTCCACACACTCAGAGCCTGCATGTCCTCACACTCAGAGTCCACACGTCCATACACACGCAGAGCCCACACGTCCTCACACACAGAGTCCACACATACACACACACAAAGCACAAATCCACACATACAGGGCCCACGTGTCCTCACACACACAGCCCACACATCCACACACACAGAGCCCACGTCCTCACACATATAGAACCCACATATCCTCACACTCAGAGCCCAGATGTCCTCACACACACAGATCCCACACGTCCTCACACATAGAACCCACACATCCTCACACTCACAGAACCCACACGTCCTCACACTCAGAGCCCACACATCCTCACACTCAGAGCCCACGTCTACACACACATAACCCACAC